TTTTGCTTCCCCCATTTGAGGTGATGGGCTTGTTTTTTTTTTTTTTTTTTTTTCATCTCCTTGCCCTTTTTCTTTGAATCAAGATTTAAATTGCTGCTAAGCTGGAGGATTCAGACCTCAAAGGGACAATAGTGTCTCTTGCATATCTAACTTGTAGCTGGGCTTGTGAAAGGCTTCCTGGTGATTGTAGTACTGAGTCTGGTCTTACCATGAAAGCACCACAAGTATTACTGCAAATAGTTTCCAAGATTCAGTCGGCAAAAGGCAAAGGGAATCCCTGTCCTGGTTGCCGCCTGTTTCCCCATAGTTGCTGTTGAGCTTGAGAAACGTGTGCTTAACTAAATTACTAACTCTGTACTCTCTCTTTCTGCCTTCCAGGTCATTTCTCACTATCAATGCAAAGAACAGCGGGATGTCCACAGATTTGAGAAAATCAGCAACATTATTAAACAATTCAAGTTAAGTTGCAGGTGAGCTGGTTTAATCGGTAGGTGGGGAAGATACCTCAGCAGGTATTTCGGCTTCATCCCAGAGCACGAAGGCTCTGCAAATTAATACCAGTTCTGTGACTCCTCAGCAAGCTGAGGCGATGTAGTTAAATTGCCCCATGCTTAAAAGACAACTGAGTTAATTGTTATCTTTTGTAACTTCCTCCTTTGCTGATGGTTGGAAGAGGTTCGTTTTGAAACAACCGTTTTCTTCTAGGCCTCGTTCTCCTGGGCAAGGTAGGGAAGTTCCAGGACTGAGCTGATAAATGAGTGACGAGTCCACAGCGCTGCGGAAAGTCGGGTGGAGAGCTTTGCTTCAGCCTCTGTACCGCAGTCCTGGCTTGGGCGGGCAGGGGCTGGCGGACGCTGTTTATCAGTATTTCAAATGGAAAAGTGGAAAGCTTGCTTTGGAGCGGCTTGGCTTTTGAACAGCCTCCAGTTCCGCGGTCTGTTGGTGATATCTGCAACTGTTTGGAGCCTGAATAAGATAGAGAAGCAGCCGCGTGGTTTACAGAGCTGTCTCCAGATAGTTCAGTTTTGTACTTCTGGTTATCTGCTGAGTGTTCAACCGTCCCTCTAAATGACCGAGCTGTTACAGCTGTGGGGCGAGTGACGTTGACTGCTTGGGCATAGCAGGCTCAAACAGTCAGCAGGGCTGTATATCCTGAGTTACCTTCACCGTTTAATGCGCAAATCGTTTTATATTGTTCTCATTTAGCCTAAAGCTCAAGAGTGGTTTTTTTTCTTTTTTTTTTTTAAAAAAAGAAAACCCAACCCCATTTGTAGTTGCACCTGGTGTTGCTTGCCGAGCGGGGGCTCCAACACTTCTCTGTTACCAACAACTCAACGAGCGGGATGTTGGCTTACATGGGCGCAAAAGCTCTTTGAGCAACGTTATGGTAATGGTTCATTTACTTTTTTTTCTTTTTTTTTTTTTTTTTCCCCTCCCCCCTCTTAGTAAGCTGGCAGTTTCTTTCCAGAGCATGGAGGT